TGTTGTTGTTGTTGTTAAGAAGGTGAGGCTATGAAGTATGCAGAAGTATGGTCACAGGTCCACAGAATGGCAAATGGGTGCAACTGCACTGTTAAACACTCGTGCAATATCGAACATGCTCAACCTGGTATGTATCCATTACCAACGATATTGTCGCAGAATGCTTGTGCAATAAAGTCCCGAGTTTGCTGTTCATGTATATAGGGATATAGAAAGGAAAATAAGTCACTGGTAATGCTTTCATAGGGAAGTGCTTCCTGTGATGTCTTATCCCTTGGAGAAGGGAATAAGAGACTTTCCCCATAACATTTGTCGTCTTTTCTCCCCTCTGCAGATTTTGTTCAAAACCAAAGACACGGAGAGCAAATTGAGTCACCAAGTTGTGAGAGGGAACCACACTCTTTCTGTGCTTCTTGGTGGCTTGCGGAAGTATGTCCTTTATGAGATTCAGGTGCTGGCTTTCACTCGCATTGGGGATGGGGTCCCCAGCTCCCCTCCCATCATTGAGCGAACCAAAGATGATGGTGAGTGAGTCCATGTTCATGTTTGTCAATGGGACTTGTGGGCTTGAAAAAGAGAACTCCTTCCATTATCCGCCTTTTGTGGAGAATATATTAGCAACGCCTCAGCTTGATTACATTTTTAATCTTAAAGAGCCAGATCCTCCCCTAGTGTAAACACCCACGTTCGCATTAACATCTAGCTGGGAACCTGCTCCCAAAATCGCAGCCTTTTCCCCCTCCCCCTCTTTTCTAGCAATTGACAAAAAGGCCATTTCACTCTAAAACCTTATATTTTATTGCCAGTTCCTGCCTGAAGCAAATTTTTACAGCCCAATTATGAACTCCTACAGAAATCCAATCATAGCAATAAAAAAAAGCTGTGGTATAATGGGACGTGATAAACAAACCGTGCTGCGATTGAACATGAGCAAGATGTGGAGTTTCCGATCCCAGGAGTGTGCCTAATGCCAACCTTGAGCAAAAGAAGAATCAAATGACCTTTGCAGAAATTAGTGCATAAATATTATTTTATACTTTACGCAAACACTTTCTCCATGACTGGGAGTTCTCATTTACAAGTTGACATATTGAAAGGCTTAGTCGGGATCCTGGTGGAAGGGATGGGGATGCATTTGGCATTCGGGGTATGCGTGTATGTGTCTATGTCTCCTATCCTAAGAAACCAAGAAACAGGCACTAGATCAGCATTTCCCAACCTGGGGGTTGGGACCCCTAGGAGGGGTGCAAGGGGGTTTCAGAGGGGCCGCCAAAGACCATCAATTTTTTGTTTTGGTTTTTTTGTCGTGTCAGGAGCGACTTGAGAAACTGCAAGTTGCTTCTGGTGTGAGAGAATTGGCCATCTTCAAGAACAGGTGTAGAGATCTTCAGCCTTCTCTGCCAAAGGGTTTCCTATGACCACCAGAAATATATGTTTACTGATGGTTTTCTCTCAAGCGGGGACATGAGAGAAGACCATCAGTAAACATATTTTTCTGATGGTCTTAGGAACCCCTTTGGCAGAGAAGGCTGAAGATCTCTCCATCTGTCCTTCTCTTCCTTTTTGGAAACAGACCGCAAATCTTCCCACCAAAAGCCCTCCTCTTCTGTGTTTGATTGTCCTCTCAGCCAATGGGAGGGCTATTTCTATTTCTGCTTGGTGCATGGCAGAGTGATGCGCATGCACGGGAAAGGGAGAACGTGTGTGGCTGGAGGGAGGCTCGCGCCAGCAAGTCCCTTCAAGGCATGGGGGTTCTGTGTGGGAAGTTTGGCCCAATTCTTTGTTGGTGAGGTTCAGAATGCTCTTTGATTGTAGGTGAACTATAAATCCTAGCAACTATAACTCCCAAATGTCAAGGTCTATTTCCCCCCAAACTCCACCAGTGTTCACATTTGGGCATATTGAGTATCCTTGCCAAGTTTGGTCCAGATCCTTCATTGCTTCAGTCCACAGTTCTCTCTGGATGTAAGTGAACTAAAACTCCCAATCTCAAGGTCAATGCCCACCAAACCCTTCCAGGATTTTTTGTTGGTCATGGGAGTGCTAATTTTGGTTCAATTCCATCGTTGGTGGAGTTCAGAATGCTCTTTAATTGTAGGTTAACTATAAATCCCAGCAACTACAACTCCCAAATGACAAAATCAATCCCCCCCCCCCCCAACCCAACCAGTATTCCAATTTGGGCATATGGGGTATTAGTGCCAAATTGGGTCCAGTGAATGAAAATACATCTTGCATGTCAGATATTTGCATTACAATTCATAACAGTAGCAAAATTACAGTTATGAAGTAGCAACGAAAATAATGTTCTGGTTGAGGGGTCACCACAACATGAGAAACTGTATTAAGGAGCTGCGGTATTAGTAAGGTTAAGAAACACTGCACTAGATAAAGATAAAAATGCTTGTGGAATATGGTCTGTTGGAGTCTTGATATCAACTGATCCACATCACCTACATGGATAGAGATCAGAGAGCAGCTTTTCTCCTGCTTTTCACGCTGTTGCAATTTCGTGATCCACTTCTAAGTTTCAAAACACACATAAAGTGTATTAGGATTGATAAATGTTCAATTGTAGGAATGTTAAGAATATCCTGGGCCCTGTCCTGTTCAACATTTTTATTAATGACTTCGATTAAGGGTTAGAAGGCAGGATCATCAAGTTTGCAGACGACACCAAATTGGGAGGGATAGCCAATACTCCAGAGGACAGGAGCAGGATTCAAAACGATCTTGACAGATTAGAGAGAAGATTGGCCAAAACTAACAAAATGAAGTTCAACAGGGACAAATGCAAGATACTCCACTTAGGCAGAAAAAACGAAATGCAAAGATACAGAATGGGGGACACTTGGCTTGAGAGCAGTACGTGTGAAAAAGATCTTGGAGTCCTCGTAGACAACAAGTTAAACATGAGCCACAATGTGATGTGGCGGCAAAAAAAGCCAATGGGATTTTGGCCTGCATCAATAGGAGCATAGTGTCTAGATCTAAGGAAGTAATGCTACCCCTCTATTCTGCTTTGGTTAGACCATACCTGGAATATTGTGTCCAATTCTGGGCACCACAATTCAAGAAAGATATTGACAAGCTGGAATGTGTCCAGAGGAGAGCGACTAAAATGATAAAAGGTCTGGAGAACAAGCCCTATGAGAAGCGGCTTAAGGAGCTGGGCATGTTTAGCCTGAAGAAGAGAAGGCTGAGAGGAGAACAATGGCTTCAAACTACAAGAGAGGAGATTCCATCTGAACATGAGGAAGAACTTCCTGACTGTGAGATCCGTTCAGCAGTGGAACTCTCTGCCCCGGAGTGTGGTGGAGGCTCCTTCTTTGGAAGCTTTTAAACAGAGGCTGGATGGCCATCTGTCAGGGGTGCTTTGAATGCAATTTTCCTGCTTCTTGGCAGAATGGGGTTGGACTGGATGGCCCATGAGGTCTCTTCCAACTCTTTGATTCTATGATCCAAAAAGTGGACCAACTTCTTCCCCACTCCCCAATGTTCTTTTTTTATTAAAAAAAATGGGAAACTATAATGGCAAGAAACCATACTAATGAGAACCTATGCATTCAGGACCTTTCCCCCAAAATATCAGTTAACATTTGGATGCAGACATTTCCATCCACCAAGAGCTCGGATATAGTAAATGTTGATGCATTCTTTTCTTTGACTGGTCTCAAACTGCCATCCCACACAGACGTACTGGAACACGACAGATGATGTATAACAAAAGCCATGCAGATGGCAATTTTTAAAATTAATTTTTATGTAGACAAATTAAAACAAAACCTACATACAAATATACAAACAACAAAACAATCAAAAACAAAGTAAAAAAAATACTTGTTCTAGAATAAAAGAAAACATATGACAACCACACTCAAAGCATCAGAAAACACTAACTATACACAATCGACATTAGTTAATTTAAGGGCTTTACATTGTTGCACTCCAGCACTGAAACACCTTTTCACCCAGCACCACACCAGAGTCCAGGAGTATTATCTACAAATGTTTATTAAAGAAAGCATGTACAAAGGGAAAACGGAATTTCCCCAAAGGGCAGCAAAGTAGAGAATACAAAATAGTAGCAATCCAAAAATGACAAAGTACATGAAGGCCAGAGAGCCCAAATCCACAGCAGTAATTCAAACTTAAATCCATAAGCAGGAAAACAGAATCATGGACTTGAGAGATGAGACGGGAAAACCATCCTTATGGCAATGTTGTCTGCTCTGAGAGTTGTAAAGTCAACACCACTTAATTTAAGCCTGACCAAGTAGCCATGAGTTCATGCCAAATGCATCTGGGCTTCAAGGTCTTCTCGTGGATTTTCTCATAACGTCGAATTAGTCTATTTTTCACTCCCTCCATTCTGAAACCTAATCTGGCTTCTCGGGAAAATTCCCCTTGTCCAAAAAAAGGACTAGACGGTCCCAACTTCAGAAACAGGGAAAAATCAATCCAGTTTGGCTCAAAAATGCCATTCAGGAGACTGAAAAATCTGAAGCGGGAAACAAAATCTCATTGCTCTTTTTCATATAGTTTCAAGAACACGGACTTCTTTTCCACAAACAAACCCTGTGTTTGAATATTTACTTGACAATAAGCAGGCACACTGCAGAGTTCCCTTTACGATAATGTAAGTATCTCAAGGGCAAAGAATAAACCCACAGAGCAGTGGTTCTCAACCTTCCTAATGCCGTGACCCCTTAATTCAGTTCCTCATGTTGTGGTGACCCCCAACCATAACATTTTTGTCGCTACTTCATAACTGTAATTTTGCTACTGTTATGAATTGTAATGTAAATATCTGATATGCAGGATGTATTTTCATTCACTGGACCAAATTTGGCACAAATACCCGATACACCCAAATTTGAATACTGGTGGGGTTGGTGGGGATTGATTTTCTCATTTGGTGGGCACTGACCTTGAGTTTTGGAGTTGTAGTTCATCTACATCCAGAGAGCACCGTGGACTCAATCAATGATAGATCTGGACCAAACTTGGCACGAATACTCAATATGCCAAATATATGCACAGTGATGTAGTTTGGGGATAATTTACCTTGGCATTTTGGAGTTGCTGGGATTTATAGTTCACCAACAATCAAAAGAGCATTCTGAATCCCACCAATGATAATGGGCCAAACTTTCTATACAGAACCCCCCATGACCAACAGAAAATACTGTGTTTCCTGATGGTCTTTGGTGACCCCTCTCACGACCCCTCCAGGGGTCCCGACCCCCAAGTTGAGAAACACTGCCAAAGAAGGATTTTTTTCCCGAAGTTTGCATGTTTTGGATAGAGATTTGAACCTGAAGTCAGCCTCATAACCATCGCGTCACACCAGCTTAATGTTTATTCTTTCTTGCATTGCTTCAATCTTATTTCCTTTATTAATCTTTATTATGGTAATAATTTGCAGCTGTAATCAACATAACACACAAGCGAAGTAAAGGGAAAAAAAGCAACAGAAACCAAAAATACAGAAAAGGAAGAATGAAAAAAGTTAATAGAGCAGAAATGAGAGACTCAAATGTACATTTAACTTCCAACCTTTCTCATGGCAATAATGCACAACTCTATAATGTGGCTTCTACACATGTAAACACGGAGTACAAATAAACCCGTGCACTATCCGCTCTGTAATAAGATGTTGGCAAACCGTCTTATCATTTTTCCTTCCTGCAGCATGTGTTGATGAATGGTGTTATTTATTCTTCCGTCCCCGCTCTCCTGCCATAAGCCAGCTTGATTCCTCCCTGATCAATTTAATTAAAAACATCATAGGTGAGAGTAGAGCTGGGATTTCAGCTTACGGGGCAACATCAGTGTCTCTTAGATTTGCAAATTAGCATTAGCTCCCCTTGACGACCTTGCAATAGTGCATTCGCTTGCCCGCCTGCCATCCGTGGTGCTCTGCACCTGTTCCTTCTTTGAGACCTGTGGCTGAACAGAGGTGCTCTAAAGATGCATATGTGCATTTTGGAGCACAACTCCGACTAGGAACTGGCATATTATTCAAGCTCGGCACTCCTGGAGTGACACGGAAAACAGTCTCTTTCTCTCAAGGTAATTTAAAACACCTCTGTAGTATATGACAGAGTCTATAACAGCCAGAGTTATGAAATCTTTTTACAATCTGATTGGCACACAGAGACCCCCCGGATACGTTGATGTGTAATCATTCTCATTGAGGTCAAATCTTGTTTGTCAAAGACATCATTGTAAATATATTTATCGGTGCAATAAAACATCAGAAGCTTAGAGCTGCAATACTCTGAGACTCAATTGTTGTCGTGACCTCAGAAGACAGCTAACTTTTTATGTTGTGTGGGATTTTCCGAGTCTCTTCTGGTCTCTGTTATTAGATGCTTTACCTTTGCTCAAACAATTGGTCCAAAATATCAGGTATAATGATTCCAAGGCCCTGATCCACTCAATCTTCAAGTCAGGCTTGAAGAGCTGTCACAATGAAGCATAGTCACATGTGTATTAAAACAATGGTTTATTGATGATGTCGTGATATCAAATACATTGGAACAAAGGAGGTCTATTCTTAGGCATGTCACTCCTGCATCAGAGGGATTTTCTGACCACCTGTTACCTGATTACTTTTTTCAAGTGGGATATGCTAGGAAATTAACTTTATACATGTAAAACTGCTGTATAAAAAGAAAAATGGGTGATACGTAGATTTTTGAATTGTGTTGTTCCTCTTGCTTTCCAGCCCCAGGCCCCCCAGTGCGATTGGTCTTCCCCGAAGTGAGACTGATGTCTGTCCGTATCGTTTGGCAACCGCCTGAAGAGCCAAATGGAATTATTCTTGGTAAGTTTGTTTAAAAGCCTAAGAAATGCTTCCTCTTCATCCTAGAAAGAAGTGACAAGTGGAGTGCCACAAGCAGGGTTCCGTCCTGGGCCCAGTCCTGTTCAACATCTTTATTAATGACTTAGATGAAGGGAAAGAAGGCAGGATCATCAAGTTTGCAGACGACACCAAATTGGGAGGGATAGCCAATACTCCAGAGGACAGGAGCAGGATTCAAAACCATCTTCACAGATTAGAGAGATGATTGGCCAAAACTAACAAAATGAAGTTCAACAGGGACAAATGCAAGATACTCCACTTAGGCAGAAAAACGAAATGCAAAGATACAGAATGGGGGATACCTGGCTCGAGAGCAGTACATGTGAAAAAGACCTTGGAGTCCTCGTGGACAACAAGTTAAACATGAGCCAACAATGTGATGTGGCGGCAAAAAAAGCCAATGGGATTTTGGCCTGCATCAATAGGAGCATCGTGTCTAGATGTAGGGAAGTCATGCTCCCCATGCTCTATTCTGCCTTGGTTAGCCTGAAGAAGAGAAGGCTGAGAGGAGATATGATAGCCATGTATAAATATGTGAGAGGAAGCCACGGGGAGGAGGGAGCAAGCTTGTTTTCTGCTTCCTTGGAGACTAGGACGCGGAACAATGGCTTCAAACTACAAGAGAGGAGATTCCATCTGAACATGAGGAAGAACTTCCTGACTGTGAGAGCCGTTCAGCAGTGGAACTCTCTGCCCCGGAGTGTGGTGGAGGCTCCTTCTTTGGAAGCTTTTAAACAGAGGCTGGATGGCCATCTCAGGGGTGATTTGAATGCAATATTCCTGCTTCTTGGCAGAAGGGGTTGGACTGGATGGCCCATGAGGTCTCTTCCAACTCTTTGATTCGATGATTCTATTATCTGTCCTTGCACTTTGCTACTATGCTGCTGAGTACATGCCCAGCTCCTTGAACCGCTCCTCATAGGGCTTGTTCTCCAGACCCTTGATCATTTTAGTCGCCCTCCTCTGGACACATTCCAGCTTGTCAATATCTCTCTTCAATTGTGGTGCCCAGAATTGGACACAATATTCCAGGTGTGGTCTCACCAAAGCAGAATAGAGCATGGGGAGCATGACTTCCCTGGATCTAGACACTATGCTCCTATTGATGCAGGCCAAAATCCCATTGGCTTTTTTGCTGCCACATCACATTGTGTTGGCTCATGTTTAACTTGTTGTCCACAAGGACTCCAAGATCTGGTTGTGATCCCCAAGTTGTGCCAGTCAGCTTGAACACAAGGCTATTTAGTACAACCAAATTTCTTTTTCAATGCATTTTAATTTAACCTTTATTTGGTGGTTCTCAGACAGGAGGCTATGATTCCAAGCATGCTAAATCCCAAACAGGGATGGTGGAATACTAGAAAGGGTTTGTTTTTTCTTCTTCTCTTTCCCATCCTGGCTTCTGGCCATTCAGACATAGAGGTTACTACAAGAAAAACACACGTGAGTTGTGCCGAGAATTTCAGTCACTGTCTTGCTACTCCTACAATCAGGAGAATTTACTTTTTCTCATTCATTATAAAGTAAACGGTGCTACTTGTAAGTCTTTTCTGACTCATGGCAAATTGAAGGCAACTCGGTCTCAGAAAAAGACTTGTTCAGAGGACTTTCAATCACCTTTCGTTGAAATTGAAAGAGAGTGACTTGCCCAAGATCACTTAGTGGGTGGAGATTGTAGTCTCCAGAGCCCTAGTCTAATGCTCAAACCACTACATCATAATGGCCCTTATGGCACTAAATACCTTCCAGTAAATGCCATTCTTTTGCAGTAGTCATAGGCTCTTCCCTGGAAATCTATCCAGTTCCTTTATGTTTGGCATGTTCAGATGTTCCCTATAGTGAAACAAGTTATTGTATTCCTTAGATAGTCTTGCTTGTTAGGTCTTCACATGTCATGCTGTCCCCTTAAATGGGGAACGGCTTTTTTGCTTTGTGTTAAACAAAGTCTGAGATCATTCATGGTATGCGACATTTACTCAGATGGCAGACGGCAGCCCAAAATACATCGCTGATGATAATAGGGCCCACGAGGTGGTTGGAGTGTCATTAGATGTGATCTGAAAGCAGCTGTTCCAAAATCTTTTGCATACAAGAGGGAAAGGGGAGAGAGTTTGAGGAAAGGAAAGGGATGGAAAGGGAGGGAAAGTGGGTTTTCCATCTTTGTGTGACTTAGCAGTCAAGAAGATTCCAGGTCTTTGCCTGCTTTAGCAGTCACGGGAAAAAAAAATCATTCTGTGGCAGTGTTTCTCAACCTGGGGGTCGGGACCCCTGGAGGGGTCGCGAGAGGGGTCACCAAAGACCATCAGGAAACACAGTATTTTCTGTTGGTCATGGGGGGTTCTGTATAGAAAGTTTGGCCCAATGTTATCATTGGTGGGATTCAGAATGCTCTTTTGATTGTGGGTGAACTATAAATCCCAGCAACTACAACTCCAAAATGCCAAGGTAAATTATCCCCAAATTACATCACTGTTAATATATTTGGCATATTGAGTATCCGTGCCAAGTTTGGTCCAGATCTATCATTGATTGAGTCCACAGTGCTCTCTGGATGTAGATGAACTACAACTCCAAAACTCAAGGTCAGTGCCCATCAAATGAGAAAATCAATGCCCACCAACCCCAACAGTATTCAAATTTGGGTGTATCGGGTATTTGTGCCACATTTGATCCAGTGAATGAAAATCCGTCCTGCATATAAGATAATTACATTACGATTCATAACAGTGGCACAATTTCAGTTATGAAATAGCTGAAAATGTTATGGTTGGGGGTCACCACAACATGAGGAACTGTATTAAGGGGTCACGGTATTAGGAAGGTTGAGAACCACTGCTCTGTGGGTTTATTCTTTGCCCTTGAGATACTTACATTATCTTAAAGGGAACTCTGCAGTGTGCACGCTTATTGTCAAGTTAAACATTCAAACACAGGGTTTGTTTGTGGAAAAGGAGTCCATGTTCTTGAAACTATATGAAAAAGAGCAATGAGATTTTGTTTCCCGCTTCAGATTTTTCAGTCTCCTGAATGGCATTTTTGAGCCAAACTGGATTGATTTTTCCCTGTTTCTGAAGTTGGGACCGTCTAGTCCTTTTTTTGGACAAGGGGAATTTTCCCGAGAAGCCAGATTAGGTTTCAGAATGGAGGGAGTGAAAAATAGACTAATTAGACGTTATGAGAAAATCCACGAGAAGACCTTGAATCCCAGGTGCATTTGGCATGAACTCATGGCTACTTGTTTGGGCTTAAATTAAGTGGTGTTGACTTTACAACTCTCAGAGCAGACAACATTGCCATAAGGATGGTTTTCCTGTCTCAGCTCTCAAGTCCATGATTCTGTTTTCCTGCTTATGGATTTAAGTTTGAATTACTGCTGTGGATTTGGGCTCTCTGGCCTTCATGTACTTTGTCATTTTTGGATTGCTGCTATTTTGTATTCTCTACTTTGCTGCCCTTTGGGGAAATTCCCTTTTTCCCTTTGTACATGCTTTCTTTAATAAACATTTGTAGATAATAGTCCTGGACTCTGGTGTGGTGCTGGGTGAAAAGGTGTTTCAGTGCTAGAGTTATTTATTTATTTGTCGTGTCAGAGCAACCAGTCCATTATATTACATTTCTAACAGAACAAAGCAAACAAACAGAAAAAATACACAACTTGTGAGTTTGGTAGCTGGTTAAATGTCCTTTGACCAGTATCTGGCCACTTGGAGTGCTTCCGGTGTTGCTGCAAGAAGGTCCTCCATTGTGCATGTGGCAGGGCTCAGGTTGCATTGCAGCAGGTGGTCAGTGGTTTGCTCTTCTCCACACTCGCATGTCGAGGATTCTACTTTGTAGCCCCATTTCTGAAGGTTGGCTCTGCATCTCGTGGTGCCAGAGCGCAGTCTGTTCAATGCCTTCCAAGTCGCCCAGTCTTCTGTGTGCCCAGGAGGGAGTCTCTCATTTGGTATCAGCCATTGGTTGAGGTGCTGGGTTTGAGCCTGCCACTTTTGGACTCTCGCTTGCTGAGGTGTTCCAGCGAGTGTCTCTGTAGATCTTAGAAAACTATGTCTAGATTTAAGTCGTTGGCATGCTGGCTGATACCCAAACAGGGGATGAGCTGGAGATGTCTCTGCCTTGGTCCTTTCACTATTGGCTGCTACTTCCCGGAGTTGCTAGAGTGCAACAATGTAAAGCCCTTAAATCAGATAATGTAGATTTTTAGTTAGTCTCAGCAAGGAAAGCTAATGTACAGGACGTGTGCAAGCTTCTCCTGTACAAAAGCTTCAACCCTCAGGACTTTCCAGGGGAGAACAGTCTTAAGAGTCTCCAAAGTTTTCCAGGGAAATAGCCCTAAAGACCAAAGAACTCCAGCTGGAGAACATCTAAGCCTTTACTGGTAGGTCCACTCGGTGTTCCAGAAGCAGTTCGACCCAGTAGCGGAGCCCACGTCAGTAAGGGTTAGATTACAGTCAGCCTGGGAGAAGTTAAAAAGGGGACTTTCCTTTAAAGTAAAGAAAAATCACAGAATCATAGAGTCATAGAATCAAAGAGTTGGAAGAGACCTCATGGGCCATCCAGTCCAACCCCATTCTGCCAAGAAGCAGGAATGTTGCATTCAAATCACCCCTGACAGATGGCCATCCAGCCTCTGTTTAAAAGCTTCCAAGGAAGGAGCCTCCACCACACTCCAGGGCAGAGAGTTCCACTGCTGAACAGCTCTCACAGTCAGGAAGTTCTTCCTCATGTTCAGATGGAATCTCCTCTCTTGTAGTTTGAAGCCATTGTTCCACGTCCTAGTCTCCAAGGAAGCAGAAAACAAGCTTGCTCCCTCCTCCCTGTGGCTTTCTCTCACATATTTATACATGGCTATTATGTCTCCTCTCAGCCTTCTTCAGGCTAAACATGTCCAGGTCCTTAAGCCGCTCCTCATAGGGCTTGTTCTCCAGACCCTTGATCATTTTAGTCGCCCTCCTCTGGACACA